ACCACCCATTCAAAAAGAAGGGACCAGAAAATGGCATAATGGTTACGTTGCTGGGCTCAAACATAGTTGATTGGTTTGTCTTGGATCCAGCAGCTTAAAAAAAACTCACACAGGGGGCCTGTACAAATGTGCCTAAGATCCCAAGAGGAGAATGGAGAAGGGATTGCAGTGTGGTAGCCCCTGGCAGGGGTGGGGTGGGATGGGGGGGTGTTAGTGATTTCTCGCTGACTGTCTCTCCAGCAAGCACCCGTGCCCTAAAGCAAGTGTCTCTTTTAAAAAAAAAAAAAAAAAAAAAAGCACCCAAAAAAAAAAAAAAGCCAGCCAAACCAATCATTAGCGATCAAAAGACTAACAGAACTGTCAGAACAGGACTGTTACCTTGTTTCTCTATTTTTTATGAGGAAACTTATGAACTAAAATCCACTAAATGCCCAGCATGTCTGGTATGTAACAAAGTCTCAGATTAGACACATTGATTAGCAGCTGCTTCCTCCTGAGAGGCCCGAGGAGGAAATAGAATACAACACTTGATCAGAGCCCAGTGACAATTTCCTTGTACTAGACCGAGCAATTTCAAAGATGGCTTCATGATTTTTAAAGCAGAATAACAGAGGGAGTAACTCTTCCCTAAGAGTTAAGCTCATGGCTCTACGTGCCTGCTTGCTACTGAGCTATATTTACAATGTGTGCCTGTTTTAAAGGCTTTTGCCATACAGTGCATGTGCTTGTCAGAGACAGAAATGGTGAGAGGGAAAGTGAGAAATCATCCCCAGGGAGATGGCCATGTCATAATCCCCACCCCTTCTTTCTCCTCCTGGGATTTTGGGCACACGTACACACACACAATGATTTTAAAGGCACTAGGTCCAGAACTCAAGCTACTGTTGACCACATGGGACTCCAATACCTTAATCACCAATCACCTGCTGGCCTTACAATGTGGATTTAAGGACTGCCTCCCCCCCCACCCTTACTCCCATAAATTGAGCTGTTTACTTCTGGCTACCTTTTATTAAAAAAATAATTTTTAAATAAGCTTTTACTCCATTTACATGCACCAGAAGGCACACATACTTGTCAGAGATAAAGCGCCCCTCCATGGGGTGTGATGCCAAAATCCTTTCTCTATTTCTACATCTTGTCAGGATTTTGGGCACTCATGCATGATGCCTTGCATGTTTTTCCAAGCTGCTAGGGATTTGAAATATGGCTGGCAATGTGGAATCCAGCTCCATTAACTACTTGGGTAGTATGGGTGCCAGCAGGTGGCAAAGTGGTTAAGGTGCAGGACTTCCATATGGCACACCACAGTTTGAGTCCTGGCTTGAAACTTATGATGGGTACATGTATGAATGTATGCCCCAAATCCCAGGAGAATGGAGGAGAAAGGACTATGGTGTGGTCGTCCCCCCTTGGGGGTGATTTCTAACTTTCCTCTCACTGTCTGTTTCTCTCCAGCGAGCAAATGGGTTCTAGAGCAAAAACCTTTAAAACAAACAAACAAATAAAAACAAACAAACAAAACCCTAACATATGGGCTACCTCCCTCCCCTTTTAAAAAATGTATTTCTTGGGACCAGCAGTTAGTGTAATGGCTATGTCGCTGGACTCCCACATAGTTGATGCGGTTCGAGTCCCGGACCCGGTGGTTTAAACTCACGCCGGGCACGTGTGCGTGCGTGCCCAAGATCCCAAGAGGAGAATGGAGGAGAAGGGATTGTGGTGTGGCCATCCCCCCTGGGGGGTGATTTCTCGCTTTCTGTCTCTCTGTCTCTCTTTCTGGCGAGCGCACGCACCCTATAGCGAAAACCTCTCCAAAAAAAAAAGAAAAAAAATGTATTTCTTGTGTGTGAAAGAACAATTTCCCAACAGACCAAGAGTCTTTATTTTAGTAATTATTTTTTTTTAATGACAGTGTATACACACACGAGTGAGACATGAGCACCCTCCATGGGGTCTGATCACACAGTGCTCTTCCTCCAGCTCACTGGATCTTGGGCACACATGGATTGTTTCAGGCCAAGCAAGCGAGAATCTGAATCAGTCACGTGTAGGAGCTGGCCTCTCCTGAGCAATACATTTCTGCTGCACCATAGGACTGGTCCTCCCTATGAGAATCTTGAAGCTGCAACCCAAGCCCAGCCTTCGGCCAGCCCCAGATCATGGGCATGTGTGTGCTCTGATGTACTCAGGGAGGTCAATGGACTTGAACTGGGAAACTTTCCATTGCCTTGCAGTATCGTATTTTACCACTGTACCATTGGTTGGCCCCTCTGGCTACTTATCATTTTTATCATTATTTAACTTTATTTATTTAAAGTTGAGCAGAGAGGGATAGAGGGAGAGAGAGAGGGAGGGAGGAAGAGAGAAAGAAAGCAAGAAAGCAAGCTGACAGGTCCAGAATTCGGATCGTGGTTGGCCATGTGGTAGTCCAGCACCCTTAACCACCACGCCATCTGCTGGCCACTTCATCTGGCTGCTTATAATTAGATAAAACTGGAGGTGATTTAGTGGCTCCACCTTTGTAACATGCTTGGCAACTAAATAGTCTTCCAGCTTCTGCCTGACCTGGGGTGTTACGGTGGGTCACAACTCTTGGTGGTTCTAATACCTGGGTCCAAACCAATCTTAGACTCTTAATAGGTACTGATCTCAGATATATATTTTTTAAGAATTATTTTAATTAACTTTATTTATTTATTATTATTTTAATATTTCTAGAGAGAGACACAGAGAGAGAGAGAGAGAAAGGGAAAGGGAAAGCAAGAAAGCAAGTCTCCAGGTCTGGGACTCAAATCACGGTTGGCCATGTGCGAGTCCAGGGTTCTTAACCACATCACCTGCTGGCCCCCTGATGTTTTTCATAAGAGCAATAGATAATCAATTAACTCTTCCTCCACACATTTGACATACTGACAAGTTTTTAGTATAAAGAGCCATAATTCCTTCACTAGTTCTCATATCACAACCTGGAAGCCATGGGAGATTGGCTCTCCAATTTATCCTTGTTCCTCAATCTGGGTGCTGGACACTGTGATTAACTTATCCTAAAACTATCTTCCCTCGGGTCTGTTCATACTGTGCTCCAGGTTAACTAATTTAAATTTATCCTTATTAGATTTTTCTTCTTCATTTTAGCCACATTATTTTAGTCTGCTTAGGATGTATAAAGTCTGTTATTTTATCAAATAAATATACTGGTAAATTGTCCTGGTTTTGAGTCATCTGCAAAATCAAAAGCTCTCATGTATGGTGAAAAAAATGTAGAATGAGCTGGGGCTAAAGACAAGCCTGGGGCCCAGTGTTAGTGCTCTCCTTTTAGGCAGGCAATTCATCTGTCACTTGGTCTTTTTTGGTTACGATTGGCTCCATCCATTATAACTCAATGTCACAAGGATTAAAGACTGTCAGCTCCTTTGATGAAGCCAGTATGTCCAATTAGCGTTTCCCTGATGGACAACAAGCCTTATCAAAAGATAAAATGAGGTCAGGTACAACTTTAGCTGAGCAAGTCTAATGGTCACATTGGGTTTTTTGAGTATTTACTGTAGTCTCCAAATTTCATTACTAATTTTAGCCAAGTATAATTGAAATGAAGATAACCAACCACACCAAATCACTGAGTCCAGGTTAATCTGCCAGACCTAGGTCAAATGAACCTTCAGAAGGAAGGAACAGGAGTTTCTTGCTACATCACAATCAAGTGAACACATGGAAAGGACTAGATGTGAAGCAAGGGAAAGGATGAGCTACACTTATTCTACAACTTTGTGTTTTTGTAAAGAACAGAGTCTACTACAATACAAGTAGTCCCAGTGGTTTTAAAAGGACCTGAAGAAAGTGCTGCGTTGATTCACGGTAACAACTTTTGAGGTAAAATAAGGCACTTGTGGGACCAGTAGATGGGGTAATGGTTACGTCACTGGACTCCCACATAGATGACTGTGGTTTGAGTCCTGGACCTGGTGGCTTAAAACTCACACCCAGCACATATGTGCATGTCTAAAATCCTGAGAGAAGAATGAGAAGAATGGAGAAGGGACTGTGGTATGGCCATCCCCCTAGGGGGTGATTTTTCACTTTCTGTCTCTCTGGCAAGTGCACATACCCTTTAGCAAAAATCTCTCTCTCTCTCTCTCTCAAAAAAAAGGGCACTGGTAACTATTTTCATGTATCAGCAATAAAGTGAACAACACCAACCATGATTTTCATTTAATTCTCTTCCAACTCTATAGGCATAATTCTGCTTTCATTTCCCTGATGGACAACAAGCCTTATCAAAAGATAAAATGAGGTCAGGTACAACTTGAGCAAGTCTAGTCTAATGGTCACATTGGGTTTTTTGAGTATTTACTGTAGTCATTTCATTACTAATTTTAGCCAAGTATAATTGAAATGAAGATAACCAACCACACCAAATCACTGAGTCCAGGTTAATCTGCCAGACCTAGGTCAAATGAACCTTCAGAAGGAAGGAACAGGAGTTTCTTGCTACATCACAATCAAGTGAACACATGGAAAGGACTAGATGTGAAGCAAGGGAAAGGATGAGCTACACTTATTCTACAACTTTGTGTTTTTGTAAAGAACAGAGTCTACTACAATACAAGTAGTCCCAGTGGTTTTAAAAGGACCTGAAGAAAGTGCTGCGTTGATTCACGGTAACAACTTTTGAGGTAAAATAAGGCACTTGTGGGACCAGTAGATGGGGTAATGGTTACGTCACTGGACTCCCACATAGATGACTGTGGTTTGAGTCCTGGACCTGGTGGCTTAAAACTCACACCCAGCACATATGTGCATGTCTAAAATCCTGAGAGAAGAATGAGAAGAATGGAGAAGGGACTGTGGTATGGCCATCCCCCTAGGGGGTGATTTTTCACTTTCTGTCTCTCTGGCAAGTGCACATACCCTTTAGCAAAAATCTCTCTCTCTCTCTCTCTCAAAAAAAAGGGCACTGGTAACTATTTTCATGTATCAGCAATAAAGTGAACAACACCAACCATGATTTTCATTTAATTCTCTTCCAACTCTATAGGCATAATTCTGCTTTCACCTTCATCACACTTTCATATGGTTTTAACAAGGGGTATACCTCCTCTTCTAAGAATCTCTGTACCTGCCAAAGAAGAAAGCAAACAGAAGACAAAAGATGTTTTAAGTAGAGAATACCTTTTGTGACATCAGCTGGTCTTGCTACGACCTATTTGATAAAGCTTTACTCCATCACTGAGTGTCTATTTTCCTCCACTGCCTTTGAGAAACATCTTTAGACACATAAGCGACTCAACCCACCATGCCTGCAATGCCACCCTGCCCACAAACCCGCCCTGCCCCACAAAGTGGCCCAGCTGTGTTCTCTCACCACCCACGCCCAATTATACAAGCCAAAACCATCACACCCTCCTTGCATGTCCCCTGCAAGCAGCAAAGTGATTAACCTCTTCTCCCTCTCTTGCCCATTTTCTTCTGTTTCCCATGAGTACTCGTGTGCACAGGCACCCCCAAGGCCCCTAGGCCACAGTCCATTCCACCCAGGCCCAGCCAGCCCTGGGCCATGGGCATGTGTGGGCGTGGCTTGTCCAGAGGACTCTGGACACAAATCTGTAACGCTCCTGTGTGTGTCTGTATGGGGGTCAGCCTCACGGAGCATAGCTGCACCACATCGAACCCATGATGAGATCTATTTTTATCTTGTCAACTGGTAAATACCAAAGTCAGAAGTCAAGATTAAATCCGGATCCACCTGACTGCAAAGCCTAATTCTTGGTTCATTATACCACATTATGGAGACTAAAAGACAATTCCAAGAAATCCGCAGGGGGAAATATTTAAGCCGAATCTTTCAGCAACTTGTTCTAACCTTTGTAACTAACCCTATTCCCACCATACCTGCCCCGGAGTACAAAGACAACACTCTAGTCTTGCAGTCCAGCAGTGTAAAGAGGGCACCCAGAAAGACTCCCCAGAAGTGTTCTTTTAGATGCTTACCTGCTGGGGTGCACGGCCAGTGAAAGAAGAAGGATCCAGTAAATGGTCCAACTGGGAGTGAATGGGACTAAAGTAAGCATCGGCCTGGATCCGCTCTATGAGGTCGTTGTCCCCCCCTTCCTGTTTAACCACAGCAGCTGCTTGCTGGGAAAGCACTCTGATTTTCTCATGGCAATCCTGGGAGGACAGTGAAGGAGTGTCAGTTCACTATGAACTGAGCATCTGAACACTACCGAGGAAACACTGGACACTTAAAACTTCACAACCAGGTGGTCTACACAGCCAGCTCATGAAACCCCTCTGTCCAAGTCCACTGAGATGATAACCCTCTGACACACCGTAGGATGACCTGGAGCAGATGCCCACCTTGCTCTGGCTCCTTTTGTTTAAAGTCTCGTGAACCATTTGTTCTTGGTTCCTGCTTACCTCCCATCGCTTCCTACAGAATTCAAATTAGATTCCTTCACTAAGAGTGTACTTTTTCCACCAGTGATTTGCTTTTTTGTTGTTAAGAGAGCTTTTTGCTACAGGACGTGTGCACTCACCAGACACAGAGGCAGAAAGCAAGAAATCACCCCCCAGGGAGATGGCCATGCCACAATCCCATCTCCTCTATTATCCTCTCCAGATTTTGGGCACTCACACGCACACATGCGCCCAGTGTGAGTTTTAAGCTGTCCAGTCTGGGACTCAAACCGCAGTCGACTATGTGGGAGTCTAGTGACATAACCATCACGTCATCTGCTGGTCCCAGGGATTCACTTTTAATAAATAAAGTTTGGGGCCAGCAGGTGGCATGGTGGTTAAGGCAGCTGGACTCCCACATGGTTGTCTGCAGTTTGAGTCCTAGACCTGGCAGCTTCCTTTCTCACTTTCCTTCTCTCTCTTTTTCTCTCTCTGGTCAACTTAAACAAAATAATAATAATGACAAAGAATAAAATTATTCTCAAAAACAAAACACCACTCTCTTAAAAGGGCAGAGTACAGTCACTGCCCTCTACCAATACTCTGACTAAAGGTAATGACAAAAATGTCTTCCTTCATTCTTCTTCAGTAAGGAGAGAACAGGACTAAAGGCTTGTTCTTAATTTACTCAGGAGCACAGGGAAAGTTACCAACCTGGCGGCTACCCCCAGCTTTGACCATGGCCATGATGATATTCTCTGTGGCCATGAAAGGCAGCTCTTGACGAATGCGCCGTTCAATTACCTAGAGGAAAAGAATGAGTCAAAGGCCAAGAAAGATACCTCGCGGTTAGTCATACACACAGCAGGAAACCAATTTTGTCAAGCCAAGAACTACCATATCCATGGACAAAGTGACAGGGTGTTTTATTTTACATGGTATGTTTTTGTTTTCTTACTAGCTCAAAGATGTACAGATTTTTAAAAATATATGCACTGATTAAAGTAAATTTCTAAGTTGCTTCAGGGACCAGCTAGGTAGCATAGAGGTTAAAGTGGCTGGATCTGGGATGGCTGACGCCATGGTTCAGGTCCCGGACCTTGCAGCTTGAAAAATAATCCAGATGTGTGTGTGTACATGTCCCAAATCCTGAGAGAATGGAGGAAAAGAGATTGTGGTGTAGCCACCCCCTTTAGGATATGTTTTCTCATTCTCCTCACCTACATGTAAGTACCCCATAGCAAAGTGAAGAAAAGAGAAAAAAGGAAAAAAAAAAGCTAGCCTAGGCCATGGTGGCATGTGCTGGCAGACAGCTGTTTGGCAGGCTGAGTGAAAGCTGAGCAGTGTGTATGCCTGCAGCCTCAGCTACTTGGGAGGCTAGGAAGGTGGACTGTGATACGGCGACACTTTGTCTTTAAAAAAAATTGGCTCATAGAAAACTTCAAATTTGGGGGCCCATCAGTGGTTAAGGCCCAGCGGCTTGAAAAGCATGCTGGGCACGAGCGTGTGTGTGTTCCCAAACTTCTAAAAAGAGGGAGAAATGAAGAAGGGATTGTGATGTGACTATTCCCTATTAGGGAGATGTTTTCTCATCTCCTACCTGCAGGTACATGTGCTTAATGGCAAAACTGAAAAGAAAAAAGAGAAAGCTAGGAAATTTCAAATTCGTTAAAATTTAGTGGCCAGGGGCCAGAAGGTGGCATGGTGGTTAAGGCACTGGACTCCCACATGGCCAACTACAGTTCAAGTCCCAGAACTGGCAGCTTGCTTTCTCACTCCCATTGCCCCTGGTCAAAATAAAAATAGGGACCAGCAGATGGCATAGCACTTAAGTTGCTGGATTCCCACATGGCTGACTGTGGTGTGACTCCCGAACTCACGTAGGGCATGTTTGCATGCATGCCCCCAAGATCCCAGAAGGAGAATGGAGAATGGACTATGACACGGCTATCCCCCCTGCGGAGTGATTTCTCCCTTTCTGTATGTCTCCCTCTGTCTCTCCAGATAGCCCATGTGCCCTATAGCAAAAATCTCTCTAATAATAATATATATATATATTTTTAAATCAGTGCCCAGCTTTAAAAGCTGAAAATAAATCCATCTGCCTCAGGTACTTGAAAACAGACTAATGGTAGCTCTATTCTACCTGGTCATAGCAGAGCTGGTGACTCATGCTGCTAGTGTAAGATCACTTAAAGTATGTCTTTCTTTTTACCAATGTGCCTATGAACTCCAGAGCTAGTTCCCTAGAGCTTAATGTCAGGAATTAAAATGAGTCCTAGCTGGAAAAAATTCCTACTGGAACAGATCACCACTCTCTCAGTGTACTCCAGGATACCCCCTTTTCCATATTCCAGCCCCTCCCTGGTACTTTGTTTCTAACTGAGGCCTCTTACTTTGGGGTATACCACCAATCCTTCAGAAATGTTCTGCAGTGTATTCAATACAGTATCCGCAGTGAGAAATGCCTCGGCCAAACAGATACGTCTAGAAAACAAACAGCCATTCATTTATCTCTTTGAGCAAATACAGATTTCAATGCAATGCAGGGTGCGTCCTGAGAACCTGCCACACTGACTTCCCGTATCTTATGTACTCTGGACAATTTCCTTGTCTCATGACTTCAACTACCCCAACGTGCTCACCACCCTAAATCGATCATCTACAGTTCAGACAACTTGTGCAAGTGTCAGACCTTCTGAGAGCTCCACCTCGATCCAAACTGAACCCAGCCTTTCTCACTGCTTCCCACTCACTACTGCAAACCTGCCCTTCCTCT